ATGCAGAATTCGATGAAACGGAACAAAGTTGTGACTCTTTGACGCTTCTTGTACCTTAGCATAGCGTTTGCTTTCTCCACTTTGATGTTTAAGGATTCCATGTTTGTTTGTACAAGTGAAAGAGTAGTTAGTGGATTTGACTTTAAATTGGATGAAGAGGAAGTTGATATGGATAGTGAGGAGCAAAGTCCTCCTTTGTTCTTCTTCTTATTTTATGTTTGTTTTGAGATTGTGTGGATTTTAGAGGCAAGGTTGGAGTATATATAGGCTATACAAGTATATATTCTTTGTTTTTTTTATTTCTTTCTTTTTTCTTTTCTTTTTTTTTTTTTTTTTTTTGTGTTTTACGTCCATAATAACAACTTACTCATGTATCCATCAGTAGAGGTTGGGGGTGTAAACAGATCTTACTCTTACTACGCAAATAGTTGTTTATAGAAAGTAATAATTATCAGCAGTACAAAGGAAATAGGGATCAATTTTTTTAGAATTTGATCACTTTTTCAGAATTAGAGCAACGGCCTAAGTCTAAAAGTGGCACCAAGTTTTAACCATCCACCATACCCCTCTTTTTCCATTTAATTTTGTGTTGTAATAGTTAAAATAGATTCTTTCACATTTTCACTTTACTTTTTTTTTTTTATTCGTTTCACATTTCAGTAAGGAAGTTCCAATTCTGATATTTTTTAGTCCAAACTCCAAAGGAACTGTCACCGTCAACACTCTTACAGGTTGTTTGGTTTAAACTTCGAAGACTTTAGATTAATTATTTTGGTATTATTTTTTATCGATTGTTTAACTCATTATATTAAAAATAGCATGCATTGCATAAGGGTTCTCCTAGGTTTTTTGTTGTTTTATCCCAGAATAGCTAATCTGAATATTTAGTTCACTTTGTAACTTGGATAACTTATACTAATTACTAATCTCAATATAGCTTATCACAAAATTAATAACTAAATAAAAGATAACACAATAATATATTTTTATCGCACAATTGTTTATGTTTGTCTAGCATACCAAACAACTGCTTTACTTTATCACTTAGGAAACTTATTCGATGTATGTCTAAGAATAATTATAGTGCTTTTGGTATATAATACATAACAATTCCTTATTCCCATTGCCTCTCTGTTGTTTGGCATAGCAACTCAATTGCTGGTTTTAAGTGATACTATTTGGTGTACAAGTGGATATAATAATTTAGAATATGGTATAAGCATTTTCCAACTCAATTATTTGGATAAGAAGAATTATTCTTTGTTCTAATCAGACGCATGAAGGATGGACCCTAATGTTTGCTCTCATTTAATTTATGTGAGAAAGTCCTATTTGGATTATGCTATAATAATGTTTTGCACTAAATGGCCACTTGATATATTAGGCTATGTTTTCGAATTTTGCCAGCATTACATGGGTAGGAACTAGGAATGGTGCATGCTGCATAGATTAAACAAAGAATCTTTTATCTAAACAGAAGAAACTGTAATTCTTCGGAGTCGGAATTTTTATTAAGAGGTCTAAAATATGAAGAAGTAAACATACAAAAAAAAGTTAAAAAATGAAAGGAATAAATTATTTGGCAATTGTTTGGTTTACATACTAATTATACAGAATTATATTTATAATGTATGAGTTATTTATGCGATGAATAATATTAATAATGTAAAGATCTTTATAAGCCCAAATATTAACAGAGAGGGTTAGTTATGAACAGATTAATTACTTTTAGAAACCCTTTATGACTTTAGTTATTCTTAGCTTTTATAGCCAACCAAGCATTAGAGTATGACTTGAGACTGTAAAAAGAGAGAGAAAGGGGTGGCTATTTAGCGGGAGTCGCTTCGGTTGTATGTCACTAGGTCCTTATGGATAAGGGGATAAGTTCACGATTGTATGTCACGAGGTCCCTATGGACAAGGGACAAGTTCACTATTTTATGTTTAAAATCATAATATTCTAAATTTATTTATTTATTTTTTAAACTTCGTGTTAAATCAAAACTAGATAAATATCCGTATGCATCTTTATAGCATTTACAAAATTAAAACAAATTAAGAAAGTAGAGAGAGCGCCTCACATGCGCCCTAATTTTTTTCATAGCATAATGAGATTCTATTTTAAAATTTATGCCTGTTCTTTAAAAAAAAAATCATTTTTACTATTTAATTGTAGTCTCAACGGAAAGTAAAACTTATCCATTAGTTGGGGAACTGAATTTAAACACTATAGTACTAGATTTTCGTTACATTATTTGGCTACTTTGCTAGATTAACCTTTTTTCAAAAAATAAAATGAACTGACATGACATGACACTTTTGATACTTTCATCAATGTTAATGTATTTCCAGGTGGCAAACTTGTATCCAAGTGTACATATATTATTGGAAGTCCTACCTCCTTCCTTACAAACTAAGAAATTAATCATTTGCCATCCACATAACGGTTTTCCAACTTTTTTTTTTATATAAAAATATCACAAGAAAACTATTTATCTTTTAATTATGGTGGGCTCTTAATTGTTGAATTGATTTTACGTGGCAATTTAATAATAAAAGATCGGTTTGTACTTTGGTCAAGAAAAGACCTTCCAAAGAATGTTAGTCATTTCTTAATTTGTATGTATCACTCAAAAATATTATCTTGCACATTAAATCTAATAATTTAACTTTATACATTATAACTTAAAGAAAAAAATATATAATATTTTATTATGATTAAAGTGTTAAAAATCAATAATTGTATAATTATTGATGCAAGGTAAAAAAAAATTATTGATCTTAGACCCCATATCTTCTACTTTTAACATCTCTATATATACTACATGGCCTAAATCATTGAGCTTAGACCTCATATCTTCACATTTTTTTGATTAGTTGAGTTACTTCCTTTGCTTTAGTAATTGTTTTCTTAATATCAAAAGAAATTAAAGCTTGAACCCTACAACATTTAGTTAATTTGTACAAGTTGTTTAAAAGAGAAAAAATATTTAAAAATATTAAAAGGTGCTAATAGCAGTGGAATTCTCGCGGATCATAAGAAGCTTAAAAAATTGAAGAAGCAGACCATGGGGTTCATTGAGTGGGCCAATTCAATGAATGATTGGCCAATTAAAAAAATACTTTTAAAATTATAGTGTATTTTCTTTTTTTAATTATTTATTTTTCTCTAAAGGACTAATTTTGCTTAATTATTTAAATTATCAACCGATTTGATGGATTACCGGGAAACATCTCCCCTTTAGCAGCCACATCAATAAATCCTAATATTTGCACTTTGCACCTCTGAAAAATCATAATATGAAAAATCTTACCTACGCTAAGTTTTAGTGCTTATGTTATGCACGATAAATACTTTTCAAGAACCGCTAATAAAATAAACGATATTTTTTTCTTTCACTATGGTTTATAAAACAAAAAATATCTAATTTATTTTAATGAATTATAAGACAATATCTTAATTTTCATTAAAAAAAAAAAAGGAAGAGAAAGGATATTTCTCTTTTTACACTTGCGTGTAAATGAAATTCATTTTTCGTTTGGGATAAATAAGTACTATGCAAAGCATAAATAAAGTGCACCTCATGAATTAAAGTCTTTTTTTTTTCCTTTTGAAAACTGAGTAGATTCCAAATCAGATCAAAGTTTTATATGAATAAACAATATACAAGACAAAAGGCAAGATTATTCTCTTATTCTATCCTAATAATATTTTAATTACAAAATCATGTGTAAGTGCAACTTAGTGCAGGGGCGGATCTAGTCGGTGAATCTTCTCGTTTTTTTTTGTTTTTTTTATATAAATAGATATATTTTGAAATTTCTGAACATAAAATTAGAGGTTGGCTAAATTAGTGATTGAGGGAGTTCAAAATCTACCTTGAAATTCAAATTTTAAACACTACATCTTTATTTTTCGAAATTTTTTATTCAATTATAAAAAATCTTGAATCCACTATTTGTGCAAGTATATTATTCTTTCTATATCTTGGTACAAACTTTTTGTGCTTCTAAAAGACCTTCCTACGAAGAGATAATGATACAATCAATTAAATATGACCTAGTTATTAGTTTGATAAATCAACCTCGTAGGCTTTAACTAATTTCTTAGTATTAATTATTTCCAACTTAACAAGAAAAAAGACGCTTTATTTATTTTAATCTTACTTTCTTATAACTTTTGGACAGTTGTGGTCTCGTGGATGATTTGTCGATAGGAGGATAATGCCTTATTTTGTTTCTTCTAGAAAATAATATATATATATTTTAAGAAAATCAGAAATTAATTGCATTATAATAGATTTACTATTGTGTATGACATAATTAAATATTAAGGCTGCTTTCCTAAGTTTCTTCTAGAATAATTATTTTTTAAAAACAATTAACCGGAAATCAATTGCATTAAGGGTTGGGGTAATAGGTCCTCATTAAAATTTGGTATCGTAACAACAATTTCGGCCAAAGTTGAGATATTTTTCAGACCCTTATCCCTATTGTGTATGAGTAACTTAATATTCTGTCTGTTTTCCTGTGTTTTTTCTATAATGTTTTTTTTTTTTTTTGAAAAAATAGAAATTAATTGCATTAAAATGGATTTACTATTGTGTATGACATAATTAAATATTCTGTTGATTCTGGCTAGTGGATAATATGCACACTTTGGATTTAGAGTATTTCGAGTTGGACACCACTTTCCTTTTGATATATTCCTTCCTCTTTTTTTTCTTCTCTATTTTGCTTTTTTGAAAGGAATTTGTTTTTTATGATGGAGAAATCCTAAGTTTAATCCTTTTGGTTTGAAAATTTTACGAAACATTAGATATCATATTATAGGTGCAGGAACAAAACTATTCCCATTTACAAGTAGAAATGTTACTCCTGCTATTAGAGATTTATCTTTGTTCTTGAATTTACATATGTTGTCTCAACATCTTTTTTCTTTTTTAATGACCTAATAATGTACTAATAAAAACTCTTGATGTTTTCTCAAGATGTCTTAATTTATGTTGATACAACATCTGAAAATAACTCTTCTTCCCTTAAAAATCTTTGTTGTCTTGCAATGAATGCTTCAACAGTGTTCCTGAATTCTTCGCTGCTCATTTCATCATCCACCAATTTTACACTGTCAGTTCGTATAACTTTTAAGCATCCTACTGTAGCAGACCGGATCAATTCTTTTCTAGGCTTCTCATCATGAGATAAACTAGTAAAGCTCTCTGAATGGCTACGATTAAGTTTTTTTCCTACTAATTGTCTCTGTACTAGAATACTCTGTTTCTTGCTCTGTTCACAGTAAGCTTCTTCTATAGCAATGCTCTGTTCACGGTAAGATTTTTCTACTAGAATGCTCTGTTTCCCCTGTTTCTTGCTCTGTTCACAGTAGGATTTTTCTACTAGAATGCTCTGTTCACAGTAAGGTTTTTCTACTACTTTCCTCTGTTTCTTGCTCTTTTCATAATTCATTGAAGATTTTTGCTCGTACAAATCCATTTTAACATTGTTCGTGGAACCAGACGAATGTCCTGATTTCAAGAAGAGGATGATGACAATCGTGTTTCCAAGAACAAAGACGAATCGAGGACTAATGAGGGTAACACCAAGTCCCTTGAAACACTCGATCGAGAGCTTGAAACTGAGTGGCAATCGAGTGGAAAATCTTGAGATTATGGCGAAAAATATGCAGAATTCAATGAAACGGAACAATATTGTCACGTTTTGACGCTTTTTGTACCTTAACATAGCATTTTCTTTCTCTAATTTGATTTTGTGAAAATTTAAGGATTCCATTTTTTTCAACTTTCTTAATAAAATTTGGTTTCAAGTGATAAATAATATGTTTGGTTTGAGATTGTGTGGATTTTAGAGGCAACATTGGAGTATTATATATATAAGGGAGCAATAGAAGTATAAAGTCTTTATTTATTATTCTTTTTTGCCTTTTATTTTCTATTGCTTGAGGGCATATTCGAAATAACTAGATTTGTGTCCGATATGCCTGCTAATGGAATAAGCCACATTTGATTTATACAAATAGTCACTTTTTGCAGAAGAAGTTGACCATTTTATAAAAATTAGATCAATATTCCAAAATCTAAAAGTGGCACATAGTCTTGATGAGTTCAAAATTAAAATCTGATAGTTAGACTAGTGGTCTGAACTTGAATTAAATTTTAATTAGGAGGCCACAAATTATTTTAAATTTGTGTTGGTCGATAAGACTATTAAAAGGGTGACTCACTCCTTGCCGTGAAACATTTCATTTTTAGAATTCAAATCTAATATCGTTGATAAATAATGGATGTGTTCCAACCTTTTCAGCTAAAAGATTGGTGATATTTCTCTTGTTTTCTTTCTCATTTTGTGTTAATATTTGAAATAGATTCTTGTCGTTTTTCACTTACTCAATTGATGGGGTTTAATTAAAGTGATATACAAGTGGATATAATAATTTAGAATATGGTATAGGCATTTCCAACTCAATTATTCAGATAAAAGGATGATTCTTGATTCTAATAATTCACATAAAGTGATGGACCCTAATGTTTAATTTGCTTTCATTTAAATTACGAAACATAGAAATAAAAAAGACAAGCAGTGAGAAAGTGCAGTATGGATTATCCTATAATGTTTTGCACTAAATGGCCACTTGATGTCCTCGAATATTGCCAGCATTACATGGATTAAGGAAAAGATCCTTTATCTAAAAGATAATCAATAGGAGAGGAAAAACCGAAGAAACGTGTATCTTGACTATATTTTTCGATATCTACTAACATTTTTTTGTTAATATAGATATCAAGTAGGTGTCTATTAAGGCTTAAACAATAGAGAAGAGATTACTTTGAAGCTATGCATGAAATATAACAATTGATACAAGTTATGCGATGTATTATTTATGCAGATTGAATGTGGAATATGAGAGGGAGTAATTTTTTAAGAGCCATTTTTAATACATCAAATCAGAAAACAAAATATGAGTATCTAAGATGGTAACCTTAATCAAATATAAAATAAATTCATTTTGAAATTAATCTTTAAATTAGTTATCTCTTATTCTTCGTATCAAACAGGCACTTTAGGGTTGCAACCTTATCTATTTAGTGGGAATAATTGGCATCCTGTTAATTGTAATATTGGTATAGTACTATTCACTAAGTACTAGATTTTCGTTCCATTATTTGGCTACTTTTTGTCCAATGAGGTGACTTGAAACTTTGGACACTTCCAGTTCAATAATATATGAGTTAGTTAATGTATTTCCAAGTGGCAAACTTATATCCAAGTTTACGTTTTTGTTTAATTAAAACTCTCACCTCCTTCCTTACAAACTAAGAAATTGAATTTGTCACATTATGGCTTTCCTACTTTTTTTGTTTTTGTTATAAAACTCTCACACGAAAAAAAAAATTAAAAAAATTTTTTAAAAAAATAATATATATATATATATAT